CCTCTTGAACTGGAAAGTGGCGCAACTCAAGAAAATGTTCCTGAGGTGCCTGCGTCGACTAGAGAGGAAGTTAATGATGATGATCATGAAACTTCAAATCAAGTTTCTACTGAACTTCGTAGGTCCACAAGGACACGTTCCGCACCAAAGTGCTATGACAACCCTGTCTTGGAAATCATGTTGTTAGACAACGGTGAACCTTCGAACTATGCAGAAGCAATGGCGGGCCCAGATTCCGACAAATGGCTGGAAGCCATGAAATCTGAGATAGGATCCATGTATGAAAACGAAGTATGGACTTTAACTGACTTGCCCGATGATCGGCGAGCCATAGAAAATAAATGGATCTTTAAGAAGAAGACAGACGCGGATGGTAATGTAACCATCTATAAAGCTCGGCTTGTCGGTAAGGGTTATCGACAAGTTCAAGGGGTTGACTACAATGAGACTTTCTCACCCGTAGCAAAGCTGAAGTCCGTCCGAATCATGTTAGCAATTGCCGCATTCTATGATTATGAGATATGGCAAATGGACGTCAAAACAACATTTCTTAATGGTTTCCTTAAGGAAGAATTGTATATGATGCAGCCGGAAGGTTTTGTCGATCCTAATAATGCTGACAAGGTGTGCAAGCTCCAACGCTCGATCTATGGGCTGGTACAAGCATCTCGGAGTTGGAACATTCGTTTTGATGAGATGATCAAAGCGTTTGGGTTTACACAGACTTATGGAGAAGTCTGCATTTATAAGAAAGTGAGTGGGAGCTCTGTAGCATTTCTCATATTGTATGTGGATGACATACTGTTGATGGGAAATGATATAGAATTCTTGGAAAGCATAAAGGCCTACTTGAACAAGTGTTTTTCAATGAAGGATCTTGGAGAAGCTGCTTACATATTAGGCATCAAGATCTATAGAGATAGATCGAGGCACCTCATTGGTCTTTCACAGAGTATGTACCTTGACAAGATATTGAAGAAGTTCAATATGGATCAGTCGAAGAAGGGGTTCTTGCCTGTGTTGCAAGGTACGAGATTGAGCACGGCTCAATGCCTGACCACGGCAGAAGATAGAGAAAAGATGAGTGTCGTCCCCTATGCCTCGGCCATAGGGTCTATCATGTATGCTATGTTGTGTACCAGACCTGATGTAAACCTTGCCGTAAGTTTGGTAGGAAGGTACCAAAGTAATCCCGACATAGAGCACTGGACAGCAGTCAAGAATATCCTGAAGTACCTGAAGAGGACTAAGGATATGTTTCTCGTTTACGGAGGTGACGAAGAGCTCGTCGTAAAGGGTTACGTCGATGCTAGCTTCGACACAGATCTGGATGACTCTAAGTCACAAACCGGATACGTGTATATTTTGAATGGTGGGGCAGTAAGCTGGTGTAGTTGCAAGCAAAGCGTTGTGGCGGGATCTACATGTGAAGTGGAGTACATGGCCGCCTCAGAGGCAGCACAAGAAACAATCTGGGTGAAGGAGTTCATTACCGACCTAGGAGTCATTCCCAATGCGTCGGGCCCAATGATTCTCTTCTGTGACAACACTGGAGCTATTGCCCTTGCCAAGGAGCCCAGGTTTCACAGGAAGACCAGGCATATCAAGCGTCGCTTCAACTCCATTCGTGAAAGTGTTCAAAATGGAGACATAGATATTTGTAAAGTACATACGGACCTGAATGTAGCAGATCCGTTGACTAAACCTCTCCCTAGAGCAAAACATGATCAACACCAGAAATCTATGGGTGCTCGATTCATCACAATGTAACTAGATTATTGACTCTAGTGCAAGTGGGAGACTATTGGAAATATGCCCTAGAGGCAATAATAAAATGGTTATTATTATATTTCCTTGTTCATGATAATTGTCTATTGTTCATGCTATAATTGTGTTATCCGAAAATCGTAATACATGTGTGAATACATAGACCACAACACGTCCCTAGTGAGCCTCTAGTTGACTAGCTCGTTGATCAAAAGATAGTCATGGTTTCCTGACTATGGACATTAGATGTCATTGATAACGGGATCACATCGTTAGGAGAATGATGTGATGGACAAGACCCAATCCTAAGCATAGCTCAAAGATCGTGTAGTTCGTTTGCTATAGCTTTTTCGAATGTCAAGTATCATTTCCTTAGACCATGAGATTGTGCAACTCCCGGATACCGTAGGAGTGCTTTGGGTGTGCCAAACGTCACAACGTAACTGGGTGACTATAAAGGTGCACTATGGGTATCTCCGAAAGTGTCTGTTGGGTTGGCACGAATCGAGACTGGGATTTGTCACTTCGTATGACGGAGAGGTATCTCGGGCCCACTCGGTAATGCATCATCATAATGAGCTCAATGTGACCAAGTGGTTGATCACGGGATCATGCATTACGGTACGAGTAAAGTGACTTGCCGATAACGAGATTGAACAAGGTATTGGGATACCGACGATCGAGTCTCGGGCGAGTAACGTACCGATTGACAAAGGGAATTGTATACGGGATTGATTGAATCCTCGACATCGTGGTTCATCCGATGAGATCATCGAGGAGCATGTGGGAGCCAACATGGGTATCCAGATCCCGCTGTTGGTTATTGACCGGAGAGTCGTCTCGGTCATGTATGCGTGTCTCCCGAACCCGTAGGGTCTACACACTTAAGATTCGGTGACGCTAGGGTTGTTGAGATATTAGTATGCGGTAACCCGAAAGTTGTTCGGAGTCCCGGATGAGATCCCGGACGTCACGAGGAGTTCCGGAATGGTCCGGAGGTGAAGAATTATATATAGGAAGTCCAGTTTCGGCCATCGGGAAAGTTTCGGGGGTCACAGGTATTGTACCGGGACCACCGGAAGGGTCCCGGGGGTCCACCGGGTGGGGCCACCTATCCCAGAGGGCCCCATGGGCTGAAGTGGGGAAGGGAACCAGCCCCTGGTGGGTTGGTGCGCCCCCCTTGGGCCTCCCCCTGCGCCTAGGGTTGGAAACCCTAGGGGTGGGGGGCGCCCCACTTGGCTTGGGGGGCAAGCCACCCCCCTTGGCCGCCGCCCCCCTTGGAGATTAGATCTCCTAGGGCCGGCGCCCCCCTAGGGGTCCTATATATAGTGGGGGGGAGGGAGGGCAGCCGCACCCTAGCCCCTGGCGCCTCCCTCTCCCTCCCGTGACACCTCTCCCTCTCGCTGAGCTTGGCGAAGCCCTGCCGAGATCACCGTTGCTTCCACCACCACGCCGTCGTGTTGCTGGATCTCCATCAACCTCTCCTTCCCCCTTGCTGGATCAAGAAGGAGGAGACGTCTTCCCAACCGTACGTGTGTTGAACGCGGAGGTGCCGTCCATTCGGCGCTAGGTCATCGGTGATTTCGATCACGACGAGTACGACTCCATCAACCCCGTTCTCTTGAACGCTTCCGCGCGCGATCTACAAGGTTATGTAGATGCACTTCCCTCTCCCTCGTTGCTAGATGACTCCATAGATTGATCTTGGTGATGCGTAGAAAATTTTAAAATTCTGCTACGTTCCCCAACATACCTAACTCTGGCGGGTTAGGACAAATGCATTAAATTTGCCGTGAGGTGTCACGCTGGTGATGCTTGTCAGCAATGACCGTCTCCCCTTCTGTGCCATTCGCCCAACTACCTCTTATAATCTTGACACGCCTCTGGGACGGGTGTCATTAAAGTTGTATCTTCGGTGGTGAGCTGACATGTGCCCAGACATAGCTCACCAAACAGCCCTCCCGCTCGACACCTATTTGACAGGCGACTGGTGTGCCGCTGAGGTGGAGCGATGGAACTGTAGTGGGAGCTTACCGGCCACGGAGCTTGCCGGGTCTTCGCTTGTCGTTAAGTAGCTTGCCGGCAACCAAAGTATTGATCTTCAATACTAACTTAGTACTTCCTGACGGCCTGCCTAGAGGTCTTCTTCATGGTTTTAATAACCAAGTCTTATGCCTTGTGTGGAGATGCCCTCTGGCAAAGCCCTGTCGTTGGGAAGGCTACAACTACATGTGCACGAGTTAGGGTACTAAGGCACTCATGTCTTAGTACACCAACAACCTTGTATGGATCTTCACAGTGATCCTGGGAACTTAATTTGTAGGGTAATTTTTTTGTTTTGTTTTCTATTATGTTTATCAACAACAACTTCACATTAAAGTCATCGGACGGGAGGAAGAGGGGAGGGGAGGTGATCCAACGAACTCAACTATATCGGGTTGGGTGAGTGTGTAGTACGTTTGCTCCGATCTCATGCCATCTCAATGTATTTTTCTTCCTAAATGAATTTGACACCTCCTTGACCATTAGAACTGACAATCTAAAGTTAATGTTATTCAACCAAATTAATTTACTCGGGTCATAACCCATGTCTTGAGCTCACACCACGATCCTCAAATGTCAACCAACAAACTTTAATTCATACGAAGTAATGTTTTCTTTTGTTGCAACACACGTACATTTATGCTAATATAAACAAAGAAGAGATGCGCCCTTGCTCAATCCGACCTGGGGAAATATCATGTGCTACCAACGTTTAGGTGATACCGTGATACGGGCTCTTGGTAACGTTGGATATCAGATCAAACGGCTCCTATGAGCTATTAAACATTTTACAAAAAAAATCATCGAAGAATCTTGAAATTGCGTGCAGGTACAACAACTCCTTATATGCCGTCGGATCTGAGATCCAACGGTTCAGACGTCCGTATCATGGTAGCATATGAAGACCGGTATCCAGCCATCCAGTTCCGATCAGACGGTAGACACGCGGCCGCAGCAGCAGCCCGCGGGCGGAGAGTTCCTCCCACAGGCCAGAGCCAGAGGAGGGGAGGCCTTCCTTCCCCTTCCCCCATCTTCTCCTTTACCTTATCGGCGTCATCGCCATCACCCGTCATAACTCGCGGCCGCACGCGTCGTACCAAAAGGAGGGAGGAAAAAGGGATCTCCACTCCACTCCGCCTCCCCCTCCGCCCCGCACGGTTCCAATCTGGTTCTCGGCCCAGCAATCGAGGATGGGGAAGAACCAGGCGTACAAGGCGATGCAGCGGGCGCGGCTGGGCTCGTCCTCCGGCGCCCCCGGCGAAGGGGAGGAAGACGGCATGGTCGGTCCCCTTCCTCACCCCCCTTACCACAGATCCTTAATCCCCCCTAGTTCCAAGCTCGCAGCAATCCATATCTGATTGCTCCGCCCGCAAACCCTATCTAGATCTGCCGGGACGTCCATGGCGAATCTTGCTGCTTGTAGATGCTTTCTTTTCCTTTTGATGATGAGGGGACTTTTACTAACGAGGGCCGTCACAGACGGACGGTTCATTTCATTCTCCAGAGTGGCACGCGGCGCGCTTGGCCAGCCTCAACAAGACCCACACCCTCACGTGGGAGGAGTTCAAGAAGAAGCAGAAGGTATGCGCGGCCTCGGCTTGCTCTCTGCTGGCTTTTGTTGGTGGATTTAGTTTCTTCGCTCTGTAATTTTGGCCATGATTTTATCCATGCTGCTGCTTAAGCTCTGCGATGTGCTATTTGTGCTCCTATTTTATGTTAAATGTATGATGGAAGCTGAATTTCAGGCATACTGCCTTGTATGTGATGCCCAAGTTTGTTTTGGCCTGGTGTGGAATGGCGATTGACTTTATAGTGCATATAGCAACGAATTAAGCTACGTTGTAGCATAGGAGGGAAATTAGCAGCCTGAACTTTGGCAGTGGAAGCTTGGTCCTGTGCCACCCAGGGTCTAGTCGTCCTTCCTCTGGTTTGCTGACCTTTGAGTTTCTCTAGCATCGGTTTGCCATCAGACATTAGACTCGTGCTACCGTAAAAGGTAGTACAACCATTTGTCAGTGGCACACCCATTATTGCAGCCATCCACGATAGTTTACCTAGCTTCAGAAGTCTAATGATGCCATTTACTTGGTTTTCACTTGTTCTCTTTGATAAATAGCAACTTAGACGGAGTATGTATATGCTGATTCCAAACAGATCAACCTAGGTCCGCATTAGGCGGGGTGGGGTTTACTTGGCAAAGCTTTATTGTTTTCTGCATTGACTCCACATGGTTATTGGCTTACTAGTTAGCACTATAGATCAGGCTCAGCCTTTTTGTACTTATAAGGTCACTGTGTGGCTATAATAGTTATCTATTATCAGTACCTTCATAGTAATTAATGATGCTCTTGTCCCCTATAGGACGAGGAGCTAAAGAGAGGTGAGGTGGAGGCTGACAAAGATAAAATGATGAGAGAGTATAGAGCTCAACTGGATGCTGAAAGGGCCCAAAAGCTTGGTCGTGGAAGAGACGTTGTAAAGTCAAAATCATCATCTTCCAAGAAAGGTAAATCAACTTAATGACGTGCTGAACGATGTTTGTTACATTTAGGTCCCAGTAGGTGAACTCTTTCTTAAATCTATCCCATGTGTTGAGTTTCTGACAAAGAATTATGGATACAGAAAAGAAGGAAAAGGACGCAAAGAAACGGATTAAAAAGAGGAGGAAGGTATTACTCTCAAATACAAATGTAATAATTGGCCACATCATGATGAATGGAAAACACCAAAAAGTATCCGCTATATAAATGATTCTAGATATAAGCATTTTTTTTACCTTCTCCTGTTGGGATGAATTTGGGAAACAAAAATGGTCCTACTTGCTCACTTCTGCATTCTTACAGCACAGAAGTTCGTCAGAAAGTTCCAGCTCATCAGAATCATCAAGTAGTGATGATGAGGACAGGGGTTCAAGAAAATCCCGATCCCGATCAAGATCAAAGCGAAGTAAGAAAGATAAGAAGCACAGGTCCCGATCCAAGCATGCGGGAAGTGACAGCGAGGAGGAAGGCCCTGTTCGCCTCTCGAAATTCTTTGGGAATGCAAAGAATTAGATGCTATATCGATACGCCCAATACCAATTTGCTTGCACCTGAGGTCATATCATTTTGAATCGTCAATTGGTGGGTGTTGATTGTATTCTATTGAGACGACTCTCAGAAGGTTGTGGGAACCAGTTTCCATGTTGTTTCTCAACAGAATGTTCGGTAACTGGAGGTTTAGGTGTTGAACCATTATATGGTATCCTGCAACTTGTAAGAAATATCAAATCATTGTTACATTGTTGTACTTGATGGATAGTGACAGTATTTATATTCGATTTGAACTGCTTTAATTCTTTTCAGAACTTGATATTTATATTATTTATCTTTGGTTGATCTTTAGATCTCTTTTATGAGAATTGGCTTCTCTGTTGGTGTATTTGCTGTGAGCTATGAAAAATACAGTCCCCTCCGTCTCTATGTTTGATTAAATTCACACAAAAAAAATATTAACACGTAGTACTATATATATACACATGTTCTACCTCTGTAACTAAATATAAGATGTTTTTGCAGTTTCTCTTCAGTAACTAAATATAAGATTTTTTTCCCTCAAATTTTTTTTAAGACTTTTGCAGTTCATTTGAACGATAGTACAATACAAAATAAGTAAAATATGAAAAAAAATATCATAATGAATCTGATGATACTGATTTGGTATTTGTGGATAAACTTGGTCAAATTCAGTGTAGTATGACATTAATTTTTATAAAAAAGTAGAGGTATTACCTTGCTAACAATTGGCAGAGAAGAAAAAAAGTGTAGCATCCTTGCAAATGAACAAAATTTATCTTTCCCGGTGATTTTTTTTCTTTTCTTTTTTGACATCTCCCGATGGCACACTGGCACTGGCTAATTTTTTTAAAATAATACATTTTTTATATTAAATTTCAGAAATATTACGCTGTAATTATATTTTTTAAAAATATTAACCAATCGGCCTACTGCTGATCGATTGGACCCAGTCGGCCTGCTGCTGGCCGATTGGCCCCCAATGGCCCACTGCGGGCTGATTGGATCCAGTCGGTCCACTGTTGGCCGATTGGCCTCAGTCGGCCCACTGCTGGCCGATTGACACCCAGTCTGCTTCCTCTAGGCCGACAGGTGCATGCACCCATTTATCTGATAAATAGGTATTTGAAAAATGTTGAAGAAGTATTTGAAAAAAATGTTGATCATGCATATAAAAATATTAATCAAGCATTAAAAAAATATTAAACAAGTATTTTAAAGTTGTTGAACAAATATTTCAAAAATGTTGAATAGGTATATGAAAATATTAAAGAAGCATTTTAAAAAATGTTGATCATGTATATAAAAATGTTAATCAAGCATTTGCAAAAGATGTTGAACAAGTATTTTAAAAAATGTTGAAAAATATTTGAAAAAATATTAATCATGTATATAAAAATGTTGAACAAGTACTTGTAAAAATGTTCAACAAGTGTTTGAAAAAATAATAATCATGTATATAAAAATGTTGAACAAGTATTTGTAAAAATGTTGATCATGTATATAAAAATGTTGAACAAGTATTTAGAATATGTTGAACAAGTATTTAAAAAAATGTTAAACAAGTATTTGAAAAAAAGTTTAACATCTGAAAGCTGGTGGGGTAGTTATTAGCCACGTTGGGGATCGATGCCTGGTCTCCATGGCAATCACCAGAGCAGCTAACCACCGCATTAGTTTCCAATTGCTGGTTAGAAAAGGGATCACGACCAACTAGAGATGACTGAGCCGGTCTTCTCCATTATTTCATTCTTTTTTTTTCTTTTTTCTATATTTTTTTAAATACTTGTTCAAAAAAATTAAATACTTGTTCAAATTTTTTCAAATACTTGTTCAACATTTTTATATACATGATCAACATTTTTATTTACATGATCAATATTTTTTAAAATACTTGTTCAATATTTTTTTTCAAATACTTGTTCAACATTTTTTTTAAATATGCCTTCAACATTTGTTGCAAATGCTTGATTAACATTTTTATATATACATGATCAACATTTTTTAAAATACTTCTTCAACATTGTTCACATACCTATTCGACGGTTTTCAAATATTTGTTCAACATTTTCAAATACTTGTGCAACATTTTTAAAAAATGCTTGATTAACATTTTTATATGCATGATCAACATTTTTTCAAATACTTCTTCAACATTTTTCAAATACCTATTCAACAAATAGATGGGTGCATGCACCTGTCGGCCTAGAGAAAACAGACTGAGTGCCAATAGGCCAGCAGTGGGCCGACTGGGGCCAATCGGCCAGCAGTGGGCCGACTGGATCCAATCGACCGGCAGTGGGCTGACTGGGGGCCTATCGGCCAGCAGTAGGCCGATTGGATCTAATCGGCCAGCAGTAGGCCAACTGGATAATATTTTTAAAAAATATAAATACAACGTAATATTTCTAAAATTTAATATAAAAATTGTATTATTTGAAAAAAATTAGCCTGGCACTGCACGGTGGTGGCGTTCACTTTGTAAAAGGTCAGGTGAAGGATTTTGTATCGCCTTGCTGCTTGGGTTACCAGCAGAGTTTTATTACAAATTTACCTTTCCCGGTGGTGGTGTTCATTCTGTAAAAGGCCAGGCGAAGGATTTGTAACGCCGTGCTACTTGTCTACCAGGAGAAACGTCTTATTATATAAATAGCACGTTAGTTCGCTTGCTTACAACAACGTCTGGGTGGTGTAGTTGGTTATCACGTTAGTCTCACACACTAAAGGTCCCCCCAGTTCGAACCTGGGCTCAGACAATTATGTTTTTCTTTTGTGCGTGCTGCGTTTTCTCTGTTTGCAATCTCGTCCATTGGCATCATAACGTTCTGCGTCATCTTGGTCTTCGCTGGGGAGGAGATTTTGGCAGTGATGATTTTCTAACAACGGCAGCATATATCATGAACTGAGCACAACGGGACGATGCAAAATAAGCAAGTTGTACATGTTAGCATGGCAAAAATGATCAATCTCTGTAACGTAGGAGTATATTAGGACAACGTTTAGCTGATGTAACAACTCCGCTGCTTAAAGCTAACCCAGAAGCAGTCACAATATGAATAATCGGACAAACAGATGGCCCAGCTGCTCTTTTCTGTTTCGTTGTTCTTGTAAATTTCACGCTATCAGCTACAAAACAGCCCTAAACTGCTGGGTGATCGAAAAACTTCCTATGTAGATTCTTCCAACTCTTCTCCAAAGCGCTCCAGCCTTGATACCTCAGCGTCGTAGTCACGGATCAGAGCGTGTTTGATCGAACCGTCATCCTCGCTCGCGTGTATTTGCTTCCCACCAAACCTGCGCGACAAGGAATGTAGTTAAAAACCCTTTTCCTAGGTAGGAAACCAAAGCATGCACAATCTCAACATCAGCTCCTTCCCTCCTTTCTCCAAAGTGTTCACAAGATAACTTTTTTTTTCTGACACTTGAAACGAATCTCGCAAATGGATTTGACAAACTCAGGATGCAGACCAAACATAACTATTTTAATGCTTTACCATATCAAAAACCAAGAGGAAAAGAATGGCGCAATGATTTTACGTTAAAACCTACCATCTTCCATTCATCTTCTCTATGCATTTGAGACCATCTTTCCGGTCTTTGAACTTTACCAATACAACCCCTTGTGGATGATTTTCGCAAACCTGCCACAGCAACATGTAAACAAAAGTGGTAAGCTGGAAAAGAGAAAAGAAACCACCAAAACTTACTGGTGGTTAGGCGTTTGCTCAGTTACGGCTCATTCTGGGGATTTTCTATATATTTCATCAATAATCACAACAAAGCTTAACACTAGTTCAGAGAGGGCAGATGTAAGATCAGATCTAATTTCTGGACAGGTGAAGATAGGAACAAGTAAATGAAACTCGTAGCAGCAGACTCATAGAGCATGGTGCTGAATGGTTTATAAATATACTTGCTACTATATAGTCCTGCTAAAATGAAACACACCAGCCCATACTTATGTGGATTAAAGACCTTGGCTACTCAGCTTGCATACTCTCACCCATTAGTCTGTTTGCCTTTTCCAGACTAAGTAACACATTCTCACAGGACCAGTACCCATATGGCCAGCTTTGGCATCGCAATAAACAAGGATCAGTCAGTTTGGTGTAGAATGCGGATGCAGTTCTCCAGTATGTCTTTCAGAGACTGGTTACACAGGTTAAACTCAAAAAGTGGCAACAGCCAGGAACTTTCGTACTCCAAATGGTTCTTGATCATATCAAGCTTCTATATGATTAGGAAGAAGCACAGCTAAAGAAGCAAACAACTTTTTAACATTCCCTTTTCTCTAATCAAACTAATCTATTTGTTATGATTTTCCTATGATGACAAGTAAAGACATATGAGTGCAATTAAAAAGTACCTTGACATTGTCGATCGGACCAAACTTCACGCATTCCTCTCTAACATCTACCTCAAGTTCAGGAAGAAGGGTTTCATCATTCTGCAATGATCAGGAACTTCATTCTTAATAAAACCGACATGAGCAAAAAAGTTCCTATACCAACAGGAGCTATCTGAAACGACTCATTTGTTCCATACGAAAAGGGCACATCAAGAATACTTCCATAATTACTTACTCTCAATTCAGCAGGACTGAACATATTCGCCAAAATCACCTGAGTAGGAATCATCACCTTCTTATCATCATGTCCACCTAATAACAGAACATTGTCACAAGAATAAAAATAAGTAAATGGGATTTTGATCTCAAGATAAAGCTAGTTTGCTTGCAAGAAATGCAGATAATAATGAAAAAGTAACTGCTCATCAACCAACGGCGTAATGATAAATGTAAACCCTGCGTACAACCAATAGTTTTTGCAGCTTAATTCTTTTAGGGCTATCTGCTAGTAAGAAAAGATTTAGAAGCACATCATATTATTCTCAACATGACACATCCCTAATTAGCATGAAACATGCAAAGCTTGAACACGACCTACAGTTCGGTTATGTCGACATTGAAGCAACAGAAACTGATCGCTGGGTACACGTATTCAAATCAACCATAATAAAAAAATTGACATAATTTAAAGATAGAAATTACCCCATCCCAGCATCTTATCTTCAACCTTCTTGCCTTTCTTTTTCTTTTGCTTATCTGCCTTCTTTGCCAAAAAAACGTCACCTGAAGCAGATGAAACCATTAGTAGTATATATTTTGCAGTTCATGTTGCTTTAATAAATTGTGAACTTACCTTTCTGCTGAAATTTGGCCACGCTAACAGTCATTAGGGTCTTACCACCAGGACGGAATGATGTTCCATCCAATAATTGAATTGCTAAAGGTACAGAAGGCTCCTGGATCATTGAAAGAGAAGTACACAGTAAATAAAATTCCGTAGTAACTAGTAAGCTCAGTCAATCTGACAAGTTCAGTAAGGCAATACCTTGAGATAGGTCACAAGTGCATCACCCTTTTTCCTGCCTGTTTCCTTGTCAGTATAGATCTTCACTCGGGGTTTCCTTGTCTCTGGATCCTATATCATCACAAACACATTAGAAGTGCATCAGTAGTTCAGTACTCTGAATCTCAGGAACAGAATATTGATTACGAATAAGATAAGAACAAAGCTATCCAAATATAGGATATACTACCTCTGTCCTAAAATATAAGGCGTTTTTGCAGTTCAATTTAAACTGCAAAAACGTCTTATATTTTGGGACAGAGTAGTACTCCCTCTGTAACTTTTTATAAGACGTTTTTAGAGTCCATGACAGTGTCAAAAAAACGTCTTATATTAAGTTACAGAGGGAGTAGTAAATAAATATCATAATCATGTACAGTTTAATTAATAATCCATCCAAAGATAATATATGGCTAAAATTTTCAATATGACGATATCTACTATCATCAATACCTACTAAAAGTCCAGATAGCTGGAATTCACTAGATTTGACAGTCATGCTGAACACAAACTGAACATCTTTGACATGAAAACGTGAAGATAGCAAGATTCTGAACAAATCAAATTTTGAATTTTGAAACACAGTAGTTACATGCACAAGCAGCAAACATGGATCTGTGAGTGTACTGACTACGGATAAAACCAAGTTTAGGAATGGGAAGACCATCAAGGTTCAAGATGAGAAATCAGTCTGATCAAGTTTAAGCTGTCTCTGCCAGAAATGGAAAAAAATGTATACCTCCTTTATAATTCCACACTTGGAAAATACCTCTACAATCTGCAAACGAAATCCACTATCAGATGTCAGAACTAGTAACTTTTTGTATAGCTATGAACATGTTATAGTTCATTTTGAGAACGGTCTTCCTACGAGGAAAACAAAGAGTAGCCTCAGCTTTTGGAGATAGAAGAAACTTACCTCCTCAGCCGTGACATCTTCAGGTAAACCAGTAACATAGACATGTGTGTTGACTTTGAGATCAAACCAACTTTCTGGAGGTTTCTGAGGTTCCTGCCCAAATAAAAACAGTTTTTAAGAATTAGCTTGTGCAAAACTTATCAAGAAGTCCCTCAAGAGTAACTTGAGAACTACCTTCTTTTCAGTTGGCTTCTCAGACTTCCGCTTCTTTTCTAGTCTTTTATCTACCTTCTCTGGCACTTTGTTTTCTTTTTCAGTTAAAGCATGGTTTTCATCCAATGTGGACGAGCCAGGAATATCTGGTGGTTGAAATACTTCTTCCTCGAGTGCAAAAGTCATGTCTTCAAGTTCATAGTCATCCTTTTTACATGATATGTCATTCTCTCCATTGTTGTCCATTTCACCCGATACATCATTCTGAGAAGGTACACAAGGAATCAGGTTAGCTGATAAACTCTGGTAATAAGGAACATTAAACAAGACGAATAAGAGAATGTGTTTTTCCTATGGAAGAACAGCTGGTGCAATACAGAATACTCTTATCAAAAAACATCACCTAGGCCTAAAGAATAAGGCATTGACAACACTAGCAATGACTGAGGGGAGCTAAATTAGATTCTCAGCTGAACCGCAACTTAGACTACTATTAGTTAAAATAAAAATGTAGTAGCTTTTTTCAGGAATAAAACTTCCACCTAACATTGAAACTAATTTTTGTAAATAGATAAACAAAAAGGAAATGCGACGACGAACGATAAATCAAGAGAAAGTGTGTATGAACTTTAGAAATTGGGTTTCTTCAAAGTTGTTTATGGAAGGGTAAATTTTACGGAAAATTTTAAAACTGATGCAACCAGATCAAGCACATACAATAACTTTGTATTCATAACTTGGTGTAAATATTAGTAAGTTTGGATAGTGTCAGTTATATTTGGGGAGCCACCACAAGGCATCTCTGAGTCATCGTGTATTGAGAGTTACAGGAGAGAGAACAATAAACTCCGATTGGATAGATGTTGATCATCAAGTTGTGAAGGATCACACTGGTTTACACTACAATTCCATTTCCAGAGTTGGTCTGTGAGAGTATGACTTGCTATTGTTTCTGATCAACATTTTTGCTTATTCGGACTCAATACTGAGTTGTTCATTTATTCCTTATGTTCAATCATGAAAGATCGAGCAACCCTATAGAGATCATCCTCTCTAGGTTGATTTATCAATAATAAATCAATGAGAATGTACGCTGTAAAGTTAAAAGAGGCTTCATTTCTATAAAGTTGCGTATACAAAGGGTATATATCCACACATAGTTTACTTCTTTGAAAGGGTAGCTAGAAGGCTGTTTGGGAGAGAAAGATAGAACTGATACTCATGTCCAGGTTAAAATCTTACCATGGAGCAGGTAAGACTAATAGTAATAGATGGCACAAGCCCATCAGAAAATTTACTTTGACATGAAAAGGCTAAGGTGCCACATGCCATGCAATAAATTTCCCGAACTAACAAGCCCTATACGCTAATAAATCATGTAGCTGAGATAGTCGGTACTTGTTCCACTATATGATTACAGCTAAGTGATCAGAAATCATGAATTTTCATCTGACAATGGTTATCTGGAAAGCCTAGCGTTGGAATAGAAAAGCAACACTTACTTGAGGAACCATTGCCCTCAGAGTACGATCCCACTTGTAGATGGTGCCGTCATCATCAGTAAATTCTTCCACACCATCTGGTGGGGATGCTGGCCGCTCATCGGGATCATCAATGACATGCTCTTTGCTTAAGTCACCATCTGCAGCCTTTGCTTTCAGCCCTTCCACCTCTGACTCAGCTTCTATAACCTCCTTCTGGAATTTCTCAAAATCATCTTCAGTTTCTGAAGAAACCATTTCGAAGAGCGTTAGGAGATACTTGAAAAGAACCATACTGAATTTGCTTTAAAGGGAATGTAGAAAGCCCTAAACTCCTACCTTGTTCAGGTTGATCCTTCTTTGTGACCCCAGAATGCAGCTCTCGAATCGAAGATAGTGGCGTCCATTCACTCCTCCCCTCCGCCCAGAGCATTGTGCTCTCGTTGAGGTACCCATTAGCAAAATGATCTGTACAGGGAGCCAAGTTCCTCAAATCCAGATCACATCGAAAACAGGACGCATAGATCTTCAGAATGTAAAAGGGCTACTAGCTGCCATTCTGAAACAATATGCGCCCACAAAACAAGCAAGCAACCTCACAACGTGACATAAACCCTATCCCGCAACCTGCCAGTGCTAACAACTCATCGATGAGCCAGCTTTGGAGTTAGGAACTACTATAACGCAACAGTGGTGGATAATGCAGTGAATGACACTGTAGAATGATTCATACGCTCTACGGAGAACCCCACAGCACGAATTCAAAACTGCCATCTGGGCTACTACCGTTACTTCCATATCCAAAAAAAGAAGCATCAATTTACTGGTTACAAAGGAAATTGCGAGCTTATGAGTAACACGCCCAATTGACACGATCTAACAGTACCAGGTACTGAGATTTGCACCACCTCACATCCAGACTCTGACACTTGCTTATACTCACAGGAAATACAGAACTAGTGAATAGGGGGCCTTTCGGATTGCAGCAAGGCCGCACGCAAGTTTCTCTGATTTTGCGAGGATTCAATCCCAGCTTGCGAGTTAACGGCGTCCGCATTTCCACTAGCAGATATAGCGAGAAGATTGGGTGTCGAAGGGGGGAGGAGGTACCTCGCAGCTCTGAGAGCGCGTAGGGGCCGACGTGCTCCTGGCTCGGGCCGAGCACGTACCAGCCCACCTCGCCGCCGCCGTCCATGGACCTCCGCGCGGGGGGAGCGGAGGCTGGGTCCGGAGATTCTGGTCTCGTCGCCGCCGGCGACGCGAAATCCTTTTTCGTGAAGCGACCGCCGGAGAGGGGGAGGAAATTTTTGGGGCTGGGGTTTCCAGAGTGGTCTAGACCTGGGTCGAGCCGGTGCCCTCCGATGGAAGCCGCTGCCGTCCGATCAAGAGGGTTTCACGATCAATGTCGGTCCAGACCATACATGTGTGAAGTTTTTTTTCCGAGAATTCATAAACCTCTAAAGCTATCCCGAGAGAATAGTTGCGTGGAAGAGTGAAAATTTAAACGGATTTGCACATTTTTGTCCGGTTGAAATGTAATGTCTTTCGTTCAAAATTTTGGTCTGATGATGCGCCACGATTTGTGTTACTTTTCTGTCGCGAGATGAACCAACTTAACATTTTGAGCATGCTTTTCTTATCGGATTTCATGTGAGCCACCTATTATTGGTTGTCTTTCTCTTAATATTTTGCTTTGAGTTTTTTCACTCGTGGCACTTGCTTGTCCTCTTGTCCATTTTGCATCGTTCGAAGAGAACGAAATAAAGCTACATGGAGAGGTAGGGAGAACTGAAGAGAGAAGCGACTATCTCGTTCTTTTTGCATGGTGATTCCAGTGGCTTTTTTTGCCAGCGTAAAGTCATGTTGGGTGTAGCGGTTTGTTAGCTCGTTTGCTCATCCCTCTTGCTGCTGCTCCTGAATTGGTCGTGCATGTTCATCTTTAGATCTTTTTTTTGGTTTGTTTAGCTCCCCCCCCCCACACACACACACCCAATTCCTAGGATTGGTAGGTGTTCATGTGTGATGCGACCTTTACTATCACATTGTTTCAGGCGATTCGTACAGAGGGGTCTTCGTTCGGGTGGTTCTCCTCCGCAGCTCTGCTTGGGTTGGGATTGTTTGATTTTTACGGTTCTTAGCTGTTGAACGGGGCTTATAGTTATAGGTGAATTTGGTTCAGTTGCTTGTGCTCAGCTTGGGGGTAAGATTGTTGGATTCTACTGGTTTCCTAGCCGATGAAGTAAGAATGTATTTTTCTTAGATGCTACTGTGTTATGTGGTCTTTGTGGTGGATGTTTTTTTTGTAGTTTTGCATGTTCTGAATATGGTGATTAGGTTTGTTAGTGCTTTTCTAGTGAAAGTTTACAAGGTTTCTATAGTAATTGGGAGGGGTATTGTATTTAACTGGAGTATTTGGTGTGTTGGATAGAATTTATGTATGCATGTAATTGTAGGTTTTGTAATTTGTCATCGTACAGCGATAGGGCTTGGTAGCTACTTTTTTTATACTGGATTCATGTGTGGCACTTGCAATGTTCAGTCTGTTGAAGACATCTTGTTCCATTATGTAAGTATTGACTTAATGTGTTGTATTGCTTCTTTTCTTTGTCATGCATCAACATTAAATATAATGTTGACTATGAGATCTCATCAATGGCGGATCTAGGGGGGCAGGCCAGGGGCATGAGCCCCAAATCCTTTGTATACTTTAGCACAATATTGTAACAGTTGCTACAATATACAAAGGGGGCCCGGGGCGGCCCACTGGGCTTAATCCACCCCTGGATCTCATGATCCATTTTTTGTCATATGGTTTATAAGTGCCTATTATAGGGTGCATTATGGTGTTATTGGTTTTTATTCCTTCCATGTTGGTGTTGTAACTAGTACTTGTGTTTGTATCTTAATTATTTAGTGAGGTGGTTATAAGCGTACGTACCATTGTCGCGAACGTGTACGTACATACTGGTCGATCGGTCTCTCTGTAACGATGAACCATGGCCGAGCAAGCAGCAGCACATGTAGTAGTAGAGCCCCCGACGTAGCAGTTCAGGCAGTCCCTTCTAAACCATGTACACATACATACATCCACATGCCAAAAAATACGGCCACGTACGTACATACGGGCGGGGTATCGAACGCCTACTCGCGCATACGTACGGCTAGGGCTCATGTACATGGAGAGGCAACGGACGACAACAATGACGTCCTGTTCATCGGGCGGCCAACCGGCTGGGTCAAAATGGAGAAACAATGTCATGTTCATCGGGAGGCAACTGACTGGGTCAGAATGCGTCATGTTCAACAGGAGCCAACCGGCTTGGCGGAACAGCCAAAACGGGGTCTGACGTACCGTGGTACGGAGGAAACGGCCTTCTGTTCGACCGGCTACGGTCGAAACGGCATCCTGTTGATCGGGAGGGGTGTGGCGTACCGCAAAGCGGAGGAAACGGACTTGTGTTGGAGCGGTACGGTCGAAATGAGGGTCCTGTTCATCAGGAGGGGTGTGGTGTACCGCAAAACGGAGGAAACAGACTTGTGTTGGAGCGCTATGGTCGAAACGGGGGTCCTGTTCATCGGGAGGGGTGTGGCGTACCGCAAAACGGAGGAAACGAACTTGTGTTGGAGTGCTACGGTCGAAACGGGGGTCCTGTTCATCGGAGGGGTGTGGCGTATCACGAAACGGGACTCCAAAAGTTACTGTTCACCCACCGTCGGCTTGCTTCAGCCTCCACCTGCATTGTTCATCCACCGCCTCTTCTTCCTGCCTCCACCAGATACTGTTCATCCAGCCCTCCACTGGATACTATTCAACCAGCCCTCCACGGGGTCCTATACATCCACCCCAACCAGCTCGGCTGTGGCGTCCTTCTCTCGGGGTCCTGTTCATCCAGCGGCAACGACCTATATACTACCACGGGGTCCTATTCATCCAACCCCCACCGGGAACTGTTTATCCAACCCCAACCATGTACATCTCGACTCGTTCAACCGCAACCCCCACGTTCACTGTTCATCAAGAGGCAGCAGGTTCGATCGGCTTCAGTAACCAGCAGTAGCAGCGATCGATCGCTCGGGTTCAGTTAGTAGCGGTAGCGAAGGAATCACTCGGGTTCAGTTAATAGCCAAGGGATCGATCGCTCAGGTTCAGTAATGTAGCTAGTGCAATCGCTCAGGTTCAGTAAGCGGACGTCTCGTTCGGGTTCAGTTAGAGCCCAAGACCTCGCACACACGCGCGTATGTGTACGAGAGAAACACGCAATCCTTCCGTGCATCGCTCGGCCCCGACCACCCACCGTAATCGGGAACTCCCCAAAATTTTCCTCGCCCTCGCTTCTACCATGATTTTTTCCATTATGGACGACCCAAAGAATGTCAAGCAGGTGCGTCTCCGGCCCGCCCAGGACGAAAAACCAATTTTCTGTCATGATTTTTTATCATAGAGTAGGAGTCCACCACATCTATGATGATACCGGGTTTTGTCACAATTATCGTCATAGAAGTGTCATAAGCATGACATAAAATATTTCGTTCGGCCCAAGATGTCACGGATGTGTCTTTTTTTGTAGTGCATAGATTACCCCAATGTCACCTCGGGAATCCGCGAGTTGAGTGCCAAAACATACATCAAGTGAATCAATATAATACCCCATTGTCATCACGGGTATCCATATGCAAGACATACATCAAATGTTCTCAAATCCAATATGCAATCCAACATAACGACATTTGAAAGAGCAAGACTCAATTCATCACAAGAAGGTAGAAAGGGAAGAACACCATAAGATTCAAATATATTGACGAAGCTCGCAGTACATCAAGATCGTGCCAAATCAAAAACATGAGAGAGGCAGATCAAACACATAGCTACTGGTACGTACCCTCAGCCCTGAGGGTGAACTGCTCCCTCCTCATCATGGTGGCCACCAGGATGATGAAGATGGCCTCCGGTGATGATTTCCCCCTTCGGCAGGGTGCCGGAACGGGGTCCCAATTGGTTTTTCATGGCTATCAAGGCTTGCGTCGGCGGAACTTCTCATCTAGGGTTCTTTCTGGGGTTTGGGGTATTTATAGGAGTTTTTGGCGTCAGTCTCATATCAAAGGGGTGCTCGAGGGGCCCACAAGCTTGGGAGGCGTGCCCTAGGGGGGTGGGCGCCCCCCAGGCTTGTGGCCTCCTGGTCCACTTCTTGGCCTAGCTCTAGTGCTTCGGGGGGTCTCTTTTGGTCCATAAAAATCACCGTAAATTTTCAGCCCATTCCGAGTACTTTTATTTCTGCACAAAAAATGACAGCACGGTAGTTCTACTGAAAACAACGTTAGTCCGGGTTAGTTCTAATCAAATCATACTAAAACCATATAAAATTGTTGTAAACATGACATGAATACTTCATAAATTATAGATGCGTTGGATACATATCGGGCAATTGACTAAAT